GGAAGTAGCTGATACTAGAAAATTTCGGAAACCTGGAGTAATACGCGAATGAGTGATTGACGTATTGAGTCAGACAACAAGGATATAGAGATTTTGGATACAACGGGATAGGGATACCGACAGTGTAGCAGTTCCGGATCAGCTTCCATTTATCCCATTACCTCAGGTACGCGCGCATGAGGCTCACGGAAATCCGTTCAATCCTGCTACCAAAACCACGCTTAAGTGCGAAATCCGGCTGATGGAAGCACCCAGCCTTTTCAGTGACGTCGGGGTGAATTCGTGAATGGCTGCTTCCGTGGAACCACCTCCAATGAGTCTAGGGCATTTTCCATTCAAAAATGGAATGGAATCGCTCGTATTGTGAACTTTTGATCGTAGTGTTTCTGAGCGTGCGAGTGAGTATCATGCGGAGATGATATTCTAGTCAAGTCCGAACGAAGCAGTCCCTGAATTTTCTTGTTGTTGACCGAAAGTTGTTGCTCGTGAGGAACTCAAGTATTTTATTTTCCGTCATCATTCCCCCAGCGGACTGAACGGTGATCATTCCACATGGAAACAAATACTGTACATGAATGTTGAGCGATTATTAGGAACGCGTGGGGCTGTTGGCGTGCGGCTGGCTTCCTGGTTTGCCAATTAACTCTCACTCCTGCCAAATGCAAGAAACAAAGAACCTCTGCATAAAGTGACTCATTGACGAGAATACTGTAAGTAATTTTCTCCACGGTACCTCAGATTAGACTTCACGAATAGATGTAGGTGAAACGTATCGTGCTGTACGTGATTCCTGATATCTCCGCATAGTTTCAAGTTTCACGAAGATGAGTTCTCAGGAACAAAGAAACTCGTAGATATAAATTGAGAAGCTTGCGAAGTGTCTACTGTGAACGCAGTCCTTGAATCGACTCAAAATGATTTGCCGATCTGATATCTGTAGACCATATATACTATCCCAGCTGGGAAGCATTCATAAGCTGCATGATGATTTGATTTAGGCGTTGAGTTATCGCATAGTAGGTTCGATCTCAAATTCATTAAAAAGTATAGTACCGACCATTGGGAACGGTCAGAGTGCATGTGCCACCTTAACTCTCGACAAGAGTTTGTAACTTCCTTATAACCGTAGTCTCGCTGCCTTCTTAAGGCTTCGATGGCCCAAAAATGCGTAGCAAATATGAGGAGACAAAAAATGTATTCCTTCGTAAAATGCCTTGTAAGAAAAATATTAGCAAAAGGAATAATAAATCAGGAGACGATATTTCCAGCAGAAGAAAAGCTATTCTTTCTACGTTATCCATCAGGTATGTTTTATGACTACGGAAAAAACGTCACCTGAACTCCAGCATAACATAGTAGCAATGACAGCCCTGAGCAAATCTCTCACGTCAAGAACACGGTCCTGTGCAGCAAAAATATAAAAGCTCTTTCATCCATGATCATTATCGATGTTCGTAGACCGTTTCACGCTACAACGAGAAGGAATTCACAAGTTCTTAACACGGAACTTCAGTCACAACGTGTACTAAGTATTTCACCACGGTTCATCCTTTACATTTGATGCTCCTTCAAATCCATTCTTGAGTCCTTGACTCTGTGTGCCTTTCAAACTCCTCCTTGAAATCATGGCGCAATAACAAAACAAAGAGGAAAAATAGATTTCAGAGAAATTGCTGAGCCAGTCTCACGTACACGGTGGAATTGAGAGCTGTTCTCAAACATTGAAGGAATATTGGCATCAGAGCGACGGAAGAATTCCGAAGCTACCGGGTTTTTACGCATCGTTTATACTCCTCTGTTTTTTGTATTCCTTCGTAAAATGCCTTATAAGAAAAATATTAGCAAAAGGAATAATAAATCAGGAGACGATATGTCCAGCAGAAGAAAAGCTATTCTTTTATCCATCAGGTATGTTTTATGACTACGGAAAAAACGTCACCTGAACTCCAGCATAACATAGTAGCAATGACAGCCCTGAGCAAATCTCTCACGTCAAGAACACGGTTCTGTGCAGCAAAAATATAAAAGCTCTTTCATCCATGATCATTATCGATGTTCGTAGACCGTTTCACGCTACAACGAGAAGGAATTTACAAGTTCTTAACACGGAACTTCAGTCACAACGTGTACTAAGTATTTCACCACGGTTCATTGAAATGTAAACTACGAGGAAGTTTAGGTAAGAACTCAGGAACTGAGACACACGGAAAGTTTGAGGAGGAACTTTAGTACCGCGTTATTGTTTTGTTTCTCCTTTTTATCTAAAGTCTCTTTAACGACCTCGAAGAATTTAGCGTTTTATCCCAAATGCTTGCAGCAGCGGCTCTGAACTCAATGTGATGAAGATAAGCCACCACAGAACGACATTATATATACAGTATTGAAAAACTTGTTGTAACCTTATTTGTTGTAAGGAGATTTTACTGTATATGTTGGCTGATGTAATAAGGCAATAATATATAGAATATTTGGGTGAGCCTGATGCTGTTCCTCGAAACATAAATACTCTCTTCATTATAAGGACATCTTAAATGTAATTGCAATGTCACAACACTGTATAACCCTTTCAACACATCCGCAATTTTATCGAAGCAGTATTGTAGATCACCCATGACTAGTACAGTACATACGCCTGTGGAGGAATTAAAGCTGGCGACATCACAAACTTAGCCTATTTTGACTTGGCAGGAGCACGCACAGCTGATATATTGGTATCACAGACACGACCCTTATAACATTTATTTATAAGAACAAGTCGAAAATTTTCGTCGTGGAAGTTATTGTCCAAGATGACAGCTTCCGTCATCATAGCACAAAACCGATTCATTTTCGTGATTTATTTTTTAGAGACAGCCATGGGAAGATGGCGCAGCGTAAAATTCGAAAACTCGCGCCGCACACAAATTTACACGATAACTTAATTCACGTTTTGTATCCCATGTGCATGTGAAACCGGATTGTTCTGATGAGACTTGACGGGGATGATCTCGGAATTTCCGAGGTTCAACTTTGAATAGTCCTGTATAATTTAACCTGCTGGCAGTTCTCCTTTCGAAAATCGCAATCCATATGATAAGAAGCATTTTTTACGTTTGAATCGTTCTAGCTTTTGATGAGAACTTCAGTGTACTGCATACAGTATATGCACCATAACCTTATCAAGGGAGCCAAGGATAAATGAGCATATTGAAGAAGTGGCGTGGTGTTTTGAACAATATAACAGTTTCCAGAAAACGTCCATGCACTTCACATTCACCTCCCCATTTTCAGGCATCATTTTCATGAATTACCACAGAAAATGATCATGCATCAATTATCCTTCGATGCGCCCATGCTCACCTTTATAGCATAAACTGCACATCATCTGATGTAATTCACTAACCTGTTGGATTTCTGATGCAAGTACTGTACTTTCAACTTTAGATGCCTTTAAATAATTTCCCTGATACTTTTACTCAGGTGCCAGCCGTGCCACAAGAGTTCCCAGTAAAATTGATCTCTACATTACCAAAATAATTTGCTCTAGGATGTGTTGTACAAGTATAATCAGTACAACAAAGCATTTTGGGACAATGAAGAAGGCTTTATTACAAACACAATTTTTGTGCAAGGAATCATTTGTTATAATGATATTCTATATTTGAAAAACATTTCAATATGGAAAAGCTAAATTCCTGGAAGTTATATCAATCATATGAATATCTTCACAAAAATCCGTATCAGAACTCAAGAATTAAATTATTGAAGAAGTTATTTTATGGTGACAATCCCAGCCAACTCCAAAATTTCTTACATACAAAATTGTTGAGTTATACATGCCACAATTTCACTTTTCTCATTCACAATGACTGCTTTGATTTGAATATAAACTTGAAATTCTGAACTCAGGACTCACCCTCTCCTCAAAGTAGGATCCATCCTGGGTGAGACAAANGACTCACCCTCTCCTTAGAGTATAGGATCCATCCTGGGTGAGACAAAAAATTGAGGAAAATGTGAGTACCAGTACACTGGCCATATGAAATATAACCATGCATACTTCCACCTGCATTCCCAGAGATAATACAATAAAGCTTGAAAACATTTCCCAAGAATTGATGCCATTACAATACAGCTGAAAGTAAAGAACTTGGCCCTCTCTATATATTTGAAATCTTTTTTGACATGAATTCCATTCAGAAATAATGCAAAATTCCATCACTCAAGTTTTCTGGAGGCCTTTTAACTATCGTTCTATTGACTCATGAAAAAGAAAAGCAATAAAAATTTACCTTGGGTTGTTTTAAAGGAAGTGAAATGACTAATTAGGCAACTGAACCCCTGCCTCCAAAGTTCAGTATCCTGCCAACTCAATCAATAAGCAATTCAAGGCCCAAAATATCCCCAATTACAAATTCCTGTAATTTTATCTTCCTTTCCCATCCCCGAAAAACTTAGAAAAGGCTCGTTTCCATAACTGGAAACCTCCATAATTCGAATATTTTACTGGTCTATTGAAGTTCGACCTAAAGAGGTTCCTAGGTTCGACTACTGTACTGTACATCCAAAGCGAAGTTGAAGGTGAAATCATCGAGTCCGGCGTCAACCCAGTCAAACCTCGTTGCTTTTTTCTCTTCTTCTTCTTCTTCTTCAATGTTTCTGTTTATCGAGCGAACACACACACGCACGCAACGCAATTAATCAACAGGATCCGGGGAAAAACGGGCAAGTATATCGGGGGGGGGGGGTGTTGAAAAACAAAAAAGTACACAGACAGACAGACAAACAAACCGGCGTCGACAGTGAATGCGAGAGGAAAGCAGAGAGAGCAATAATAGAGAACGCAGTGTGTGCGCCCGCGCGGACGAACAATAAAGACGACGCACTCGCCACGAATCACAGTAGCATCGGCGGCACTTCGACAAACGACACCATCATCAGGAGGATCATCCGGGGACCACCAACAAAAAATTCATTTGCTGCTGCAATGATGCTGATCAAAATAGTCATCATCATCATCATCAGGCTTGCTTCTGGTGCATGGCCTGGTTGATGAACGAAGACGGGGAAGACGAAGCAGACGTTCCCGATGCTGCCTGGGTCCCAGCCGAGTTGGAGCCTGAGCCAGTGATTGTGCCTCCGGACAAGGACGTCAAGGCACTCATCATGCTGCTGCCAGCGCCACTTCCACCACCGACACCTCCTGCACCCCCGCCACCACCAATACCTCCTCCGATGCCGCCAACAGCGCCTCCAACACCTCCTCCTGCGCCTCCGGGGCCCTGGTGTCCGCCCTTGAAGCAGAAGACCAGGAACAGGGTGTACAGGATGAACGTGGATGCCAGCGCCGTGAGTCCGTACATGAACAGGTTCAGCTCGGGCTGCTTGAACCGGTTCTTGGTGAGCCAATCCAGGACCTCATCCTCTGCCAACAGGTCTCCTGTGTGAGGATTTGAAGAGCATCAGTAATTAAAGGGATGAACGGGACATGACGATAAATCAAAATTACTCTGTGCATCATACATAAAACATACAAGGGAAATGACCAACTCAGCTATACTGTAAATGCGACATATAAATAGTACCCTACACACAGCAGACCCAGCATAAAAAAACTAATCTGTTCCTGCACATACTAAAATGGATGCCGTACTAGTGTACTTGTATCTGTTGGTAGATACAGTAGAATCTCAATTACAAGGAATCTTGATATAACAAATGATCATTTATAACGAAGTTTCATTTTAGGTCCCTGTCTAAAAGCCACATTGTTGGATGAGTTACCTCATAACGAATATTTCTCCTAACAACAACGGTATTTCAGTACTGGTACCGTTTGCTTCGTTGTAAAGAGATTTTACTTATACAGCAGCTTAGGATCTTACGTTTCAGTGAAAATGTATTTCATTGAATGATTTCCAACAAGAAGTGATATTTCTCCCAAAATAAGTTGCGTAATTACTGCTTTGACGTTACCGAGTTCTAGTCAGCCATTTATAAAAAAACGGGATTGACAAAATAATAAAGTTTTCGGGAATATACGCAGTTATAATCATTTTCTTCAGCATTATGTTGATTCAATTTAACATTTCAAAAGAGGGATTCTATCATCAAATAAGTTTTCCGCTCTTTTTCCTGGCAATGGCATTATCAATGCGCAGCAAATTCTGCACTGTCAAAAATGTTGTTCAATGATTAAATTTCTCCTTCGAAATCTATAACAAAACGAATGCTGCTAAAATGTTGGAATCAAATCCTTGCAATTTTCCCTATAGTTCATCATCCTTTCAACTCATTCAAGAATAACGTTGAACCTATTGGATCTTATAGGGGATAATGTTAAAGGTCATTAAGGAGAAAGAAAAGGGGGTTTATTTTTATGAGCAGCTTGAACTTCGTAAACATGGAGCTTAAAAAGAAAAACGACCAGGGATATTGAAGTTTGATTTTAAGACGTTCGACTTTTCAAGATAGATGAGTAATACTACCCCTTCTGAGAACTGTAACTTCAAGCGAGCGAACATGAAAGTTATCTTGCCTCTGTAGATGGACGGAAAGCGTTTGCGGAAATAGACGAGTGCTGGCAATTTGTTGATGCCGTATTTGCGAGCATATCTCGCGTCTTTGATCTTGACAAATGTGATGTCCAGGTTGTCCGTCTCGTCGTCGATGCGCTCCAGCTCTTCCAGTGCTTCGTCGCATTTCCGACAGTCCCCTTCGTCTGCAAAAAAAAAACATTCATTATATTGAACGAACCACACGCACGAGGTTTCTATTTTAATGCTACAAGCTGATGACCATAAGTCATCAACCAACTGAAACGGATGCGATCAATGTCATCCGTTTAAAAGATTCGTCTTTTCCAGCTCTCGGCGAAAAATTGATCTCGGCGACTATTTCAGGTTTGAGATGGAACCGGAAACAAACATTGAAAACGATTAATTACGGATGTATAGTTATCCTATCCGTTTCCTTCCGTTTGAAAACATTTGGAGGAAAGTTGGTGCCTTATTTATAGAGGTTCGAGATGAAGATGAAAACCGGGAGGAAAAATTCATAAAGGCAGCTCACTCAACGAATGAATTCATCTTCAGTAAAAATGGTTCATATCGCAGCTCCTGATGTTGCTTACTCAACGATTCCCATTAGAAGAGTTGCAAAAAAAAAACTTAAATTTATCACACATCAAGAAAAACCAGAATTTTGAGATAATTTTCAAGCATTTTGAGTCAGATACTAGACGAAATAGCAAAATAAAAAAGATTCATTCTTTCGATAATTTTTTTTTTATGAAAAACGGATTTTCCTACAGTAATTGATTACCGTATTTTTTACGGAACATCTTATTCCGATAGGTCCCGATCCGTTCAAAAATCCCAATTTAAAATCTAGCTGAAATAAAGAGGGTCTATATCGATTTTATGGGATTTTATTATTGTTAACGTCATATATGGTTCTATGAGATGATGTGGAAAGAAATCAAAAGAGGGAATATATATAAGGTTACTTTAAACTGTATATTTTCATCGAGCGCAGATGAGGCTGTACTTTTTTTTTTATACCGCCGTCTAAATTCTTGAGAAAATAAAATCGACGGATTCTGAAAAAAAAAATTCACGGACAAGGCAAAAGGCAAGAATTACGCAGATCTGTCTACATCATATAGATCAACACTCACAGAAAAATACGGCCACGAAGTCGTTTTCGTCCAGCAGCTTCTCCAGCATCTTTCGATTCACCTCCTCAATCTCATCCTTGATCTCGAATACATCCTGAGATGTGAGCCAGGCCAAAACCCGTTCCTCATCCTTGAGGTCTCCTGCGAATTTCCACAGGGAAAATTAACCAGTGAGTATACTTGACTGAATATATAAGCAATTTCACCAAGGCTCTGATCACTTTCTCTCCCAAGTGTGCAGCGATACGTTCTTTGGGCCTATAGAAATTTATTTTTCAATTTTCCTTGCATGTCTCAACCAATTTCGAAAATATCAATCCCTGAGTGAGACACGCAACCTATAGTCTTCTCTGGCAACAAAATTTCGTTTAGGTTATAAATGCCGAATTTTAAAGTTTGAATAAAAAAAAAGAATTCAATTGGGCTGCATTTGTTCCTGTTTTACATTTTCAGCAGCTAGTTTGATTCAAGCCTGAATATTACTGTTTTACTCATTCAAATACCGCCTTTTCTGAAACTCATATTTTCAAACTGAAATACATGCATTCCAAGTATGACATTCACCAAAAATGTCCAAATTTTGCACAAAAATGAAATGCTAACATATTTCATAGAACAGTCCAGACTTCCTGAGGAAGAAACAGAAAGGCACAGTAAATCTGAACAATATTTTTTTTAAGCTCTGCACATCCACATTAATAACCAACAGGACCTCAGATATCCACTGGAAAGTTCTAATGATTAGCATAACCCCTCAATCTCATTTGGAACTACCGTATTTACTCAAGTACCACGTGCCCTCAAGTAAGGCATGCACAGGGGTTTTTCAGTTGAAAATATTGCAAAAATCTGATCCCCTAGTAAGATGCGCACCCCAATTTTTAGTGAATCTAAAGCCATAAAATTTCAAAAATAAAACAAAAAATTTGATTTTAGGTGTGAATTGAACAAAAATCTGATATATTTTCAACTTTTTCAATATAAAAATGTTTTCTTGTTATATTTGTTCCAAATTTCTCCATTATAAATAAGTGTAATGCACACATAACTGCCTAAAACTTCTTGAAAATGTTGTACCTGCTTATGACCCTTTTTTTCTTCTGAAATTTGGGGGAAAAAGTTTGCGTGGTACTCAAGTAAATAGGGTATATCCCAATGCAATTGAAGATCAGCAAATTAGGTGGAAAATTGAAGGACCATTTAAACACATCAATGCACATTTCTACAGTTTAAAAAAGAAAAAATGTCCTCCGTAACATAAAAAAAAATTCATGGTCACGCGAAATATCTGCCGTATTTACCATCATACACCAGAGGCATCTTCAACGCCTTTATGTGTTCGCGGCCTTCTAACTGCTAGGGCATCAGACACCGACGAAGTCGCAGTAACTAGAACTGTTTTAGCTACGGTTTACGCAGGCGGAGTAGCAGTTACAAAAGGTCGAGGAGGTACACCGTGGTACACTCTTCGCACTCATCTTCGTCTGCGTCATTCATGTCACGGCGGCAAGAAAAGCAGCGAATACTAACGTGAAACTCCGTTATAACGAAGTATTTGTCAGAAAAAGAAAAGTTTCGAAATTTTCGCGGGAATACAATAAACATACAGTATCGCAGAGTAAATCGACTTTTGGGAAATTTTTTAAGATTCATCGAGGGAAATTTATATGCAGCGTATTTCCTCCAGTATTTAGATTTGGGAAAATTTTGTTTCAATCCCACAATTCTCAATTTTAACAAAATTTATTTTAGTACCGATGTAAGACGTTGAACCACTTTTTCTTCAAGTTATATTTCGTGAGAGATTTTTATTCCTGCAGGATGTAGTACAGGTGCAGTATATAAATACGGTCATCATTTTTCATCAAAATGAACCATGGAGGGAGCAAAAATTAGGAGGAAAACGACGAACAACAGCAAGAACAACAATGATAAACGGTGATGACGACGACGAGGATGAAAACAACTGCGCCGGAAGCGGCTGCTGCTGGAATGCGACATTAAATCCAGTTCAGTAGTTGGGTATACAGTACAGAGAAGCAAAAAGAAAAGCGAAGAAAAAGGCGCAATCCGACAGCATATTATCAAGCCATAAGAATTGGAAAGGAAATCGTGAGTAATAGGATGAAATACTGTAGTATAGGGATCGATGTTTGAAGCGGTCCAAGAACATTTTTATCGGATTTTAACACTGAAAATTTGAAAGCGTAAAAAATGTTCTCATCTTTCCAAACATTTTTTCAGGCTCAGCTACTTTAAAAGGGTCACGTTACATAATAAATCAACGGGGAAGAATATGACGTGCTCTCTGAAAATAATTGAAGCAAAGATTTCTTCGAGCACTTCGAAGTTGCTTTTCCAGTGCAAATTATTTTCGTTATGCAATATTCAATTTTAAAAGAGGCCCGTTCACCACTCGATGCATAACTTCCTAAAACTTGTTCTTCTTTAAACAGCGATACAAAATTCATGATGCGTATTGTTGCACACGTGGTAAACAATTATAAATTATTTGAGAGTCATTGAAGAGCATTCAATTGAAAAGAATTCACGCTCACCAGACGAGAAACATTTTGAATTACATACATACTTCTCAGACCAACATGTGTTACCCTTTAAAACGATCTATTAATGAATTTTTTCAAATTAACTAAAATTTTAGGCAGAGAGAAAAACTCAATTTTTAGTAATGCAGGCATAAAAAGCTCATTTGTTGTTTCTTAATTTTTGAAATTTTGATTCAATCACATATTTTTTCAATCAAGAAAAATATTTTAAATTTTTGGGTTCTACGGTTAGAAAATTCCTACGTTTTACGGTAGTTTTTCGAAAGAAGTTTTGAAAATATAGGAATGATGAAAAAAAAGAGAGAGGATGCTACATTTCAAAATTATGGAGCAGTATTTAATTAAATGCTTCAGTCTAATTCTCCAAACGGATCGTCATATGCATTTTTCAGCTCTTAAAAAAAGTGCAGAGCAATTGTGTAAAACGTCTAGAAATGTTCACAAAACTGTTTTCGGCAGCTTTGTTTCTATGCTTCCATTATTAAATGAGTGTCATAATAACGAATCTAAATTTATATAATAAAGCCATTTTTACAGAAATGCATTCTTCCTCTCTTCTACGAGATGGCACAGCAAAAGTGCGAAAATTTCAGTACTGTACACCATGGTACTTGCAGTCGTACAGATGAAAACTTGTCCTAAGGTTTCACAAAGAAAAAAAAACACAAGAGAAAGGGGGCAATAATCAATAGTTAGCAGAAGCAGAATATTCGCCACGGACGACGAGCAGCATGCGATCATCGGCGCTCGTGCATATACAGGATCCGTAAATAAGTGTACAATACGCTGGCGACAAGCAAAGCAGAGCTGAGCAGATCAAGACATAGAGCGCACAGCATCAGCTGAGGCCCCAGCAGCACGGCACAGACGAAACTCACAGAAGAACACGGCGAGGAACGGAGAGTCGTGGACGAGCTTGTCAAGCATGCGTATGTTGACGGCCTCAATCTCGTCGGCCAGCTCCCGGGTTTCGTCGTCCACGAGCCACTCAAGCACGGCGTCCTCGTTCCGCAAGTCGGCTGTACATAACACGCATCAGCACCGCCACCAATCGTATACAGCAGTATATACATACAAGCCAAGACGAACATATCGAGTGCCCCACACAATATCAATATACATTGGAGGGCGAATAATGTGCGTGTGTGTTTCTACATACAGAATATTTGCTTGCTCTCTTTCATAATATTCAGTATCCCCCCGAAAGCACATGCGTGGAATGTTCCAACGTTGTGGATCCCCTTGAGCCATTACATTCGATCAGCTTTTTTTCGATAAGCTCTTCAAATGTAAAATCCCTTCTTGTCTGCGTAAAGGATTCTTGCACTCGTTTTCCCGTTCTCATCTCTCTGCATCGATGCACCAGTGAAAATGAATAAATGAGCGTTTTTGAACGGTGAACCCTCCACACTTCAACACCCTTCACATGAGGGGTCTCACAAATGTTCTTAGACTAAAAATCATAACTGCATATGATCGAACTGAAAAAAAGATTGCTCCGCAGAAAAAAAACATCATTTGGCACACGCAAAAAAATCAGCCCTGTTCGACTTTTTTTCTTAATTCTTCTTGCAAAAGTCACCATGGCAGCTTTTCGGTCTTCACTCAAAAGATGACGCGCCCATCTTGCAGATTTTTCGGCGACCCCAGCTATCTTGCTACAATTCTTGAAATTTAAATGGCATTGATTCCAATGATTGCCGCCATTAATTCCACCGTTTTCATCAACAGTCGCCATTTGGGACGAGAATGTGGCGGCTGGCTGTTATTGAAAATGGCTGCATTACCTTGAAGACTTTGAGGCAACCCTTGGAATTAACGCCAATGTCAAGAATTCAGAAGAAGCTGGGCTACACCAAAAAGTTGCAAGGCGAGTGCCTCTTCTTCTCAAAATTCAATTTTGGTACAGTTCAAGTCAGAATTGAAACTTTTTTTAAACACTGAAATGCCTCGGCAATAAAAATGGGGAGCACAACTTATTCAGGGATGCATTTTTATCCAAACTTTAGGACCAGAAAACCAGGTGCATGTCTTACTCAAGGTAGTCAAGGATGAGTGGTACTCATTTATCATTTACATTTACTCATTTAGTAAATTTATACAGTTCAGTAGTTCCTAAAGGAAAGCATTATTTCGGACTACTTATCATATGGTTCAAAGGTGAAAATTGTAGAGATCTTTCCTTTTCAAATGTTGGAGAAGTAAACAATTCTTCAAGAATATGGAAAAAATCCCAGAAAAATTGAAAACTGTATTCAAAATCTTTAATCAAGTGCTTTCTAAGGTTCCAATTCCCAGTCACAACGCCCATCGATTCGTCAGAGCTCTCGTAGAGCAGGATTGCAGGTGAAATTCGGCGAAGTCCAAGAATCCTAAAATATGTAAAATTGCACAAATTGGAGAGCTCATGAAAACTGCTTCGCAAATATGAATCGTTGAAACATCCCAGACATGCATGCTGCATCATCCAGCAATACGTCCGAATCATATCGTCCTTATATACACCGACTCCTTCACTTCCGCGATATTTATTCATTTTTCATTCACTTCAAAAATATGTGTATAAATGAATGAGTGACAATGAGAGGCTCTTGTTCGATATCGTGTGCACTCGTGTGTATGAAGTGTGCCGTCAAACGTGGTGTGTTTTTTCTGTGCGTGTGCTGCGTTGATGTTCGTGAATCACCGCTGATGGACGACTCTGAACTGTTTCCTCCATCTCTCTTTTTCTTTCCTCATTTTGCCAATCATGAATGACACGCTTGCATGCAGTAAACATAGAGGAGCAACGAAAGAGAGGATGAAAAGATGGAACATAATCAACAGTCGTTCCAATATGCACATCATAAACTAAATAGTACACAGAAAAGCAGATAGATGCCCAAACACAGCAATTATACGAGATACAGCAAAAACACATGCGACCAACTACGCATAGAAGACAGACAAGAACTGAGGTACAGCTGTTGCAACTACAGTACACGTATATCATCAAGCAGCAGCAGCAATATATACCAGGCAAAGAATCGGATCGTCATTCATTCCAGCAACATCACGCGCGACACACAGTCTCTCTCATCGCTAATATACCGTATTGACTCGAATATATATTAACACACATTTTTCATCAAACCTTAATCAATGTGTATCTCGAGTTTTTCAAGGTTTTAAATTTTTTCATGGCATCATAGATGAACATTTGACGTGAAGAGAAGCACAACTGCGTGCGAACGAGACAAACAAGCGTTGGGATGAAAATTGAGTCCAGATGCTGAAGACTTGAACTGAATCCTTTCACTCTTAGATCCATAACGAATTCAGAATCCTGCATTTCTTGGGAGAGATTTAAAAAGATACGTGGGGCTGAAACATGAGTATACAGGTGGACTCTCCAAAACTAAATGCAGGGCAACAGAAAAAAATTCGTGGCACAGAAACCCTCTGAAATGTATAGAGAACCCAATGGGACCACCACAAAAATCTTTACATAGTTGAAATTAAATGCCTTTACCTTTTCAAGTTAAATATCACTCTGCGTCAAATGCTTTGAAGTCCCAGTCTGGATTCCCTTCGAAATGATGCATTAAAGACATCCTCAAATCAAAGGGTTTTCCCGTCAAACCTCCATAACTCAAATTTTCTGGATGCCTTTTGGCTATTCATTTATTGGCACAGAAAAAGGAAATCAATAAAATGCAACTTAATGAGTTTTCAGAAAGGAAATGCAAGACTGAATGGGGAAAAGAACCCTTCAAAGTTCAGCATCCTGTCATCTCATATATGAAAAGCAATTTGAGACCAAAAATATCACAAATTACAATTTCCTATACCTTGTTATTTCTTCCCCCCCCCCCCCCCCCCCCCAAC